AACTCTAGTTCGACGATCCGTCTCCCGGATAGCGATTTATTAATATCAACAGCTATCGAATTAAGATTCCTCCATGCCAGGAGCAGTCATGCATAGATCATCCGATTAGACTCGACAATGAGACCATTACACAAAGGGCTAAGAAGACCGAGCGCGCTTATATTTCGTTCCTTATCGACATCCAACTCGTGGCTGATTAGCGCCGTGTAAAAATGAACTTATCCATCGATACCGATCAACGAAAAAGTTCACGACTTCGATGTACACGAGTATTTGGTAACTAAACACAGGGCGTTAGGAATGATATCAGAGTTCGTTTAAACGTAACACATTCTCTAGATGTTGTTTGCTCCGAGACAAAGACGTTCCATCTTATCAGTTCGGCTGTTCGCACCGAAAATCCACAAGTTTTGTTTAGGTTTGGATTTAATTCGAGTAACGGAGATTTCAGAAGATCAACACACCTATATTGTCAATGTTTCATGGTTCTCGAGTTCTCCGCGTAATCGAGTTCGTCGAAATTGTGCACCGTCCGCGAAACCGTTGCAAACTCATCACTTAATTCTTTCGTAGCACAAGCTACGATAATTAACCGGATCAATTTTGGAGCTCCTCCATTTACTAAACGACTCGGCTTACAAAGACTGTCAAGCTCGTTCCGAGAGACCTTGAGGAGGCAACTTCTACTTATGCGCGAGTTCATTGTGATTTCCATCTGTTTAAATTTGCTCTGGCACGTTCCTCGCTGACGAACGTACACGCGTAACCGACGAAATTCTAAAAGCCAAAGGCGAAAAAGCTTTTCTGTATCACGGAGGTGTGTAGTCAAGGCTGAATGAATTGAAACGAGTTTCACGTTTCGGTATCGTGCCGACTGTCAAAGGTGTTTCGTGACCCGATTCTGCGGTTATTAACGCGTTAACTATTACAAAATAAGGACCGTTCAAACAGAAGCATTGTTTCGCGCGTGCTGTATCGCGCGTTTCCAACCATGTTTCTCCTCAATAGAGACGTACATTCTTAAACTTCGTATCTGTATCCTTCACCTATTTTCTTTCGATGTTAATTTGCATAACTTATCGACGACACGTCGAGCCGACGATAATTAATTTGACCGCCAGGCACATTACTGCCTTGATTTTGCTTCTGAAAATCTTGGAAGCGAACGGGGCCGTTAGGAGGCTAGAGAGACTTTGCCGCGCTTAACTTTGCAGTTACACTCCCGAGCATTGTATAGTCGCGGGCAAAAAGTAGAAGAAGAGGAGGAACATCGTAAGTGCGTAACATAAATGCACGCGCGAACAGGAATGTTCACAGCTTCTGGTGAACGGTTGCATTTGTATGCTTCGATCGAGGTGCTCCGGTATCGTTAGAGCGGCCATTCGAGACTCACGCCCCCATTGTCCGAGGGCGACTTCTTGCATCCTCTGCCTCGGTTAACGCCGAAGATCCTTCGCAGCTTACCGAGACAATGCCGTACGTGTATCGTGCATCATATTTCACGGTTATTCCTTTTTTGTGTCCGGCGCGTACGTATCGCCCTGGTCCCCCTGCTGGCGACGAAAATCCCCGGTCTTGGACCACCGAGGTTAAAATGATTTCGCCGGGCCTCCCGCGACGCTGACCAACGAGATATTCTTATCCGTTTTTTGCCCGCAGAAACGTTCCGATACGTCCGACCAATTCCCTCCAGGATTCGAAAGTTATTTCACGAGAGAGACTTAATTGTTATCGCGATGAAAGCGGCGAAATTGAAAGCCTCCTTTAATAAACGCCTAATCGAAATATGTTGTTGAGCCGAAGTGCGTTCAAACTTCCTATGTTACCGATATGATAACGATATCGATTACAATGCCGACACCAAACTATTACGAACGGAAGAGTGAAACATAAATTTAAAATTCCGTAGCGGCAACGCACGGTGCTCTGCACGGTATTGTACGATAGAATATTGAAAAGAATCCGAAGGTAAAAGTTGTCGCGAAGCAACGTTACAACATTTTCGCGAATCAGTCGTGCTTGTCCCGATGAATCCGGGTATTTACACCCCAACCTTCTGGCTGGTGTTCAGTGACCCTAACTCGTCTCGCGATGAAATATCTCCGAGAGAGCCGAGCGTTAATCGGGCGCAGTCATTGTCTCGCGGGGATCATTATCGGATCGTTGCACCGGCTAGAATTAATTTTGCCCGGCGAAGCAACGGGGATTCGTGAAATCCCGGGGAAATATCGCTATCGAATAAATTATTACGCTCCCGCGAGAACACGAGACCCGACGAAAACGGTGCAAACGCCGACCATGGAAATGCGAACCAGACCGTGTTTCGCACGCTTCTACGCAACGAGCAGCTTCTCCCGTTCTTTCTCTACTTTTTCTTTGCAAACATATCGAGCTTATAGCGAGCCTCGTATCTTCGACCCGTTACGACTTTACTATCGTGCCAGTCGGTGGTACATCACATGCCGCCGATAAACAATGTCGGTCTTGTTTTCATTGGCCTAAGAATGGTAAAAACCGTTCGACAAGAAACGCGAACGAATGTCTTGGTGAGCTAGTTAACAGCTAGAATATCCTCCACGAGAGGACGAGAACAACCGACGACAGGCGTGACAAGCGTGAAGTCAAACAGTCTCAATGGCTTCCACGAATAACACATCGCACAACGTCACTTTTTACCACCGTAAACCCAGATTAATAAAAATGCCCAAAGATACGCGTCAGTAACTAAAGAAAAATTTGACAATCGAAACAATAGGAACGATTTCATTATGGTAATACGGAAGCGACGAAATATACGGCGCTATTGAAACGACTCTGCGTCTATGACTCCTACTCGTTGCTTGATTGTCCCCTTATTACGACAATCACTCCGTAAACAAACATGTATCGTACTTCATTAAACGCGATTATCGTGAATTACAGCCGGGAGTACTTTGTTATTTATCGACGACAACGCAGGCTAGACTGTGCGTCTCGGTATGCGGAACGCCCAAGATCGAGAGAGAACGATTCTGTTCTCGCACGCGAGCTAAGCGATCAAGCATCGCACTTGCTGGAACTTTACGCTTATCCGCTCGAGAACAATCGTGTAGAGCCGCAACGGCAAACACGTGTTCCTTGCCATTCTTTTTAGCGCCAAGAAGACCGCGAGATCGCCGTAAAATCGTTCGACCGTTCTCTGATTCCAGCTTTGATCCTTCTTGTTTCTCCTTTTCTTCTCGACCGTCCACTAGATTCTCGTTCGTTGCGAGAATTATCGTCGCCTCTGATGCGGCTAAAGCGATACTAATTCTCCTCGTATGTCTTTACACTCGCCAAACAATAATTGTAGATGCGACAGAATTTATCTTCCGATGAAATACTCTTTCTTTCGCCTTTCGTGTCTCGCGAACACCGATTACTGGAACATTCACGAGTCTCGCGGTGTTGATACATTCTTCGATGTAAGGCGCGTGGCAAATTTTACACCTAGTAAATTCTATTCGTGGCGATCTAACGCGTGGTAAATTTAATGGGTATCAATTTAACGCATGGCGGATTCTGCGCGTGATAAATTCTACGCATGGAAAATACTGCGTGCGGGGATCTAACGAAGAGTTCTACGCGTGACGAATTCTACGCGTGGCAATGTAACGCATAAGAAATTCTGCACGTGTTGAATTCTGCGTGTAAAAAATTCTATGCAATACGTAGAGGAACGCATGGTGTTAAAACGCGTTGCAATTCGCGCGAATGTAACAGTAAACTTTAATAATACTCCAGAAACTTGATAATAATTTCGCAAGAATTTAATACTAATTATAAACTTTATATTGTTAGCGTATCTTTAGGCGCGTTCGTTTTACTGGTGCAACTCCAGTGACTGCGGGCGGTCTTCTTCCCTCTGCCCCTCCTTATTTTCCTCTGTTTCTTCGTCCGCTGTTCAGGAACGTAATGATTAATTAAGCTTTCCAGGAAAACGCAACAAGTGAAACGTTATTAGTGCTTAGTGGCACAGTTTACTCGATTCAGCTTCGTTGCTTCCCGCTCTTATTCCGTGACTCCTCTTTTCGATCCCCTTTGCATCCCTGTTTCGCGATCGGACATGCATCTTCGGTGCAGTTTTAATAATTACCGTGGCAAAACGGAGCGGCGCCTTGCACGCTGCGGCTATATAGGCGCGTTCACGCGATTCGCAGCGTGTAAATCGAGAACTCTTAGAATCTATGGAGGCGATTATCCGAAGCAGAAGCTGGATGATCGAGAACATATGGTTGGCTATTCGTTTCGCTTGAAATTGCTTTGAAAGCGTTGCACCCTGACCGAGAGAGATAAAGAGGGAAGGGCAAAGATTATAGCTGATTTTCATCGCTATGTGGAACAGTGTTTAATTTTGTCTACAGATTAATAGTATGAAATTCTTGGTAACCTCGGGAGCCTTGATCGCGTTTCCATATATTAATGTTGGAAGCTAATCGAACAACCAACAAAATTCTCACGAATATAACCAATGAAATTCCATATGCTTTATTCGAACGACTACGAGCAGTACCACTTCGGGAGAATCTATGTTAAATTAATACCTCGTTCGGAGAGAATAAATCACCGAGCGGATTCTATTAATCGTAACTTTAATTCGGCCTAGAGGCTCGATTCGATCGAGCTACGATGAACACGAGCTATTCGTATCGATCACGTTAATCTTCGTAATAATTTACGGACGCGAAACTGTTGAATACATTAACGAGTTCGACGATTCGGGAAAAAGAGCGAGGTTGTAAATGTTTAAACATCCTCGTAACACGCGATGTTGGTTATTGAAGATTATCGCATTCTTGAAATGTCTAACCCGATGGAACCAGCTGAAAGATAGATATTTGCCGCGATAAGAAGATAATTGGCTCGGGTTCAACGGTCGACGACGGCTCGTGAAAACCGCTGTTATAGATTGACAACGACGATAACAAATTGCATTCCATTACGCCAGATTAATTAAGGCATCTTTGCAATCTCTGTTTCAGATCGATTCTAGCTTTGACAATGCTGACCGCGGCCAGTGTCTCCTGTACCCACGTGCCAGACAAGTATCCCATCGAAGTAAGTCACTATCATCATCGATTAATCTCTGAATCATTGACTGTTTCACCTTCGGATTAGTTCCAATCCTTCATCCTACTGTTGTGACTAATCAACGTATCAGATATTGGATTTACCAATGTACCAAACAGTCTTTCTTACATGTTATTTACAAATATTTATATCGTTAAGATAATACATAGGAAAGATATAGATTTATAATATGCGTATCACACTTACAGCGTCAGCTTCTGATTGCTAATTCCGCGAAGAAAAGTTTTAAGTTAGAGTATCTTAATTTGCGTTCGGTAATAATGGTATTACAGATTTTATTGGCAATCACTCGCAGGGAAACGTGCGGGCAAAGAATCTAACTAATTTTCATCGCTGATATCCAAGCGAGTATCGTCTTTCCACGGGAATGTGTTCATTAAACGAGATAGCTCGTCCAAGTCTGATTTTGAGAGTAATTTGATCCATAACTCCTATACCGGTTAACTTACATCCATAATAACGTTATCGTAGCTATCTCGTCCATTAAGATATTTTATCCACGATGTACGGCCGCCCCGTGCATATTAATTTAATCCACTTACAGGAATTAATAAGCAATTACGTAGACGTTATTCTGGGTGGCACGACCAAGATAATTAATTGACACTGAAGGAGCTTCCTAAATTACATCCGAGCCAACTGCATCCCCAAGGCCAAGCCGACGATCAACGCGAAATGAAAACACTGTGTACGCAATCGCGTTTCTTGCAACTGCGTTTAAATGGACCGTTTGTTTCCGAAAATATTGCAACATCGTGCCTAACCACGAACGTTTACTTCCATCGAAAAGAGAGGAAAAAGAACGAAGACGTTGGGTGTTCTCGGGTTCACGTCCTCGCGTGAGATTCTCTTTGCATGTATCAGCAAATTTCATGCGATGCAAACGAACCGAACGTTCTCTAATTTAAGCTTTCGATTCATCAATTTATATTTACTGTTACTCCCGCAATTACTCGGTTTTACGCGAAAACCTCTTTATTATCGAGTTGCAATTTGTAACTAGTTTATTTAACCGGTACAGAACCTCAAGAATTTCACGGCAACCTGTTGAACTGCAGTTAACCAGGATAACGGGGTTTATCGTCGATTAAACTTACGTTCTTTAAACGATCGTTCCAGTTAATTGTAATTATTGGTCGACGGGTCAATTCCAATCCTTCTCTTAATAAGCACCATAGCTTTCTAGTAACCTACACATATTCTCGTCTCGTCGATTTTCTAACCTCGACGTTTTTCGAAATTATTTTCTTTCGATACGTCTTGTAATTCCGAGAAAACGACCGAATTCTTGAAAACCGATATGATTTAAAATTCCATTCTCACAGTGTTCGCGTAATGCGAACATTTTGTCCGTCGCAAAGATGTTCGTTACGCCGGTAAGAATCCCTTTGAAAGGCTTTCGGGACAATGAGATTAAGATCGTTCATCGTGGAGGGAATCTTGAAATGTGCCTTCATTATTCAGTCGGTTGCGCGGGTCTGACGACAGAGGGTCGTATCCCCTTAATAAACCATTAGATCACTGTGTAACTTCTGTTCCGCGTACTAAGTCTATATAACTTTCAATAATGAATTATTTATTCCAATCATCCGAACACTCCAAGTGTTTCACTTTTGCATCTATAGGAACAGAAACAAATGGCAACTAGGAATACGGAGATCTAAATTCTAATGCCGAAATAAATTATTCTCGGAAATCGTATCGTATTCAGTTTCACGAATTTCAGATTGATTTATATCTAAGCCGTTGGTCGTAATCAGACGCTCATCATTAACGATGTATCGCTCTGCGAGCGCGGTGTATAATAATTTGAGTAATCCGAATCGTACGTTCGTGTATTATCAATTGATTCGTCTGAAGTATTTAGCATCAAAGGAAATGGATTAGGATAAACCGACTGGTAAGTGGTATCAAATGACGCATCGATGATTTCTGTCAAAGACTCATTATGGTAAGGATTATTATTCACTGTCACGCATTAGGAATTCGAGCTGTCTGCAAGCGACATAATTAATTTTATTAGGAGCTACTTCGATCGGTTGGGTTAATCAATCAAAGGCTGGTGAATGAAATTATCTTGCTCCGCGATGATCAAACGACTCGCTATTTCTGTTGTGATTCACTCGTGTTAATTGCTACGGATACGCTGCTGTTTCTTCGATAATCAACGCATTCATAATTAGTATATCGGTATAGTTTTCTTCCAAAAATTGATCGCCATCGACAAAATATGTTTCAGGTGTATCATATGCTGAGGGAGAAAACACAGTTCGGTCTTAGCCGAGATAATCGCATAAGAGGAAGCTGGGGTCCGTGGAGTTCCTGGAGCGAGTGTTCCAGGACCTGCGGGACTGGTATTCAGTCTCAGTCACGCGAGTGTGTACCTTACCAGTAAGTAAAACACGAGCTCCAGTCATTTTCAAATATTGAATTTAGAATACTTTGACGGTCAGGTTAAAACATCGGTCAACAATTCGATAGATCATTTTTACCCCTTACCTATCCTAATATGTGCCGTTCGGTATCGTTCCGTCTTTTCAGTTTTCCTAAATAGCGTGTAGATAAGATAACTAAAATACATCTTCGCATAGTAAATTGAAACACGAGTCAATTACAGCGAACCACGAATCGATCGAAAAGACACGGAATTCATTATCGATTCCGGGAATAATGACACGTTTCGTGGTACCGTTAACGTATCACGGGAAGCCCGGGTCGTGATCAGTCAGCTCCGCGATTTCACCAAGCGGATCGAGGAATATCTACGCGTGAAGAAATCTAATGGACAGAATTTCGTACACAAATTCACGGTTGCATCTGTTTCCGCGAGATCTTGGCTCGATCGTAAGCTCTGACGCGTTCGTAAGAGAGAAGAACGGTAAGTATCGAGCAAATTGCGGATCGGTAGCAGAGGAAGATTACACGCTGGCACGCCGGCAACTCGCGCGGACGCTTCTCACCGACCACGAGAGACCCATTATCGTAGCTGACATTTACACCTTTGTAACGCTACCTGCGCGATTACTTTGCTCCTCGCACGATTTATCGGAGGTAAAATAGATCGGGACACGTTGGGTACCGTTATCCGTATTTTGGATGCTCGATAAATTGTATGTTTCGCGCGTTACGTGCTGCGATTAACGGCAATGATTATGAATCTTATTTTGAAAGGGTTTCGAACCTTAAAATCTTTTAATCTTAAAAATGTATATTTTTACTGCTTTGCAAAGATGAGATGATATGAACTTTAAGTACATTTTATGTAATATTGCACCATGGTATCATAAGCACGTAGGGTTCGTTCTCGGTATTCGACTGGTGTCAATAATTGTTGCAGCTGTTCGATAAATTCTTACATAACTGGTTCTTCGAAGCAACGACAGTAGTAAGAGTCCTAATGTCCGCGACAGGCTGATCGATTCGCGTGACGAACTACTTGACGATACGCGTTTATAACGTTCACTGACACGATTATAATGCGCTTTTTCAGAGTGGTAGCCGATCTGCTAACTGGTATGAAAATCGTCGAGGAAAGATCGAAATCTGTCAACGGCTAACGGGCACGAATAATGCGAACGATTTGTTCCAGGAGACTGTTAAGGAAACGAAGCATTATCAAGGAGAACGGAACGAGCAACCCGCGGCCCATTTGCATCGGCACATACAAGAGATACCACACGTGCAACACGCAGGTAAATCAACGCCAGCCAATGTTTACGCCTTTGTATCGAGTGATAAATTAGCGTTTGTATTTCAATCGCGACGAACAATGAATTATTGCGATCCGCGTTAAAGATGATCGCTATAATTCAAATTTATAGATACCGCGAAATGAACGAGACAATCGATCAGGACATGCGAGGAACTTTGCTATTTCACGAAACTCTTTGTAATCTAACGATGTACTAAATTAATAATGCAGAAACATAAGATTACACTCGCTTATTGATTCCATAGACGTTTCATATTCATTTTTCTCTTCGAATCGTCCGCACTTTCGCACACTTTGTTTGCTACGTGAAAGCATGTCGGGGAATGCACGATATCGGTCAAAGTCGGTGTCAGTGACTTAGAGTCGATGAAACATTGGCCGGTGATTTGAATCGTAAAGAAGGAGCATGAGTTTACACGCTGGACGCGAGCAGGTGCATTTATCATACGGTTGTACGTAGACGTGCAACTAGTGATGGGCATTCTGTGCCATCTTGTAAACTCTTATACAATTTAGTTACTATAGCCTTACGACCGCTTCTATATTTCAAGTCGAGTATCCTTGAAGTCGTTGTAAACTTTCGAATGCTCGATAATTTTAACACTTTGACAGTCATTATTACTCACGAGTATAATATTTAATATTTCATACTGTTCCTCCACAATGTTTCGAAAACATCTTTCCAAACACTTTAAGAAACTTTCGTAAAGTTATCCGAGGTTAAATATTTGATATTTTTCTACACACTCGTACGTTCGGGACGAATGCTAACCCATCGCTATACAAGCTGACGCATACTATAGATCGCCGGAGGGGTTTCTTTTCGAGGGTACGTCACGAATACGCGAACAAATCATCATAGTGGCCAATTAAGGATGCGCACGATGGCAATTTATATGGCCGGTTCGCCAGTACGAGGTGTCGTTTAAAATTCATAAGAATAATCACCACCTGCAGAGCCAAAGACTCGCTGGTAATGAACGGCTTTGCCCTCTGTCCAAGTTCAAGCTGGCGGTAATTAGACCTTCATAAACGTAAAGACATCGTGATCATCCTGTCGTCTTATTTCCTCGAGCGAAATCGATACTTCCGTATCGGTTTCTTAATGTATCGAATCAACCACTCTTTCAAGCTTTATTCAGGTAACACCTGGTTCGAGCAATTAGAGTCGATTGAAAATATGTACTATTAGGCAATAATAGATTCGAAGTATAATACAGATTGAATTATGAATGAAACATTAGTCACCGAGGGTCGAGGGTCAAATAACGCAGATAAAAAAGCGAATTCGAACACAAACTCATTCAATTAAATGTGGAACGTGGTTCGTTCATTCTTTTGTTTATAAGAAATTCAATTTAAAAAATTTCATAATTCAAGGAATTAATATGGTTGTATCTTTATAAAGACTCGACGGTTGCTAATTTCAACGTTGAAACGTACGATTGCAATTAAAAAAAATTCACCCGTAAAACAGTTTTTTCCCTCGAGGCAACACGACTCGGCTAAATTTCGCTCGGAAACGGAGGTTTACAAACACGAGAGACTATTCACGGTTTTACTGGCCCGTAATTAATCTTCCACCCGGAAATTACCGGAGTAACGCTTCTCCTCGTACGCGTAGGTATTCGCGTTTCGCCGTGTTCTTTCCACTACGTGTGCGCGTTCTTTTCTGAGATCGCCGAAATTCACCACAAAAAGGTGGAATTCCGTGGTAATTTAACCTTTTATAATTCAAATGCTTTGCATTCGCGGGAGAACATTGTGAAATTCGACATTATTAACGCAAACTATGCGGCGAAATTTATTTTCGTAAAACATTTTGTTCCAAACAAATAAAGTGCACGATCTAGACACAATATTCGCGAGTTCATAATCCTTCGAAAAATGTGTCTTAAACCGTCTTAAGATCCAGGAAATCTGAAGTGGCAATCAGAGTTTGTACGGTAACAGTTCCCTTAACGATCGATGCTTAATTACCAGGACTTTAATTAAGCCATTGTTCCGAAACAGAAATGTCCAAACTTCTCGGAGGACTTGCGGGCGGAACAATGTGCCAAATACAACGGAAGAAACTACAAGGGCGAGAGCTACGATTGGGTCCCGTTTTTGGACGGTAAGCTAAAGCTGTTTGAAGTTACATCTTGCTATTCTATCGTCAACTAAGAGTTAAATCGTGACGTTGTAATTACCTCGGCACGTGGCAAAGGCGTTTGTTCAACCTTTGCCTTTGTCTCGCGCTACCGCGAGTGACCGTAGCCACACGAGAAATTGGATTTAACCGATCGAAAGATGTTCCCGAACCCACATAAAACTCACCACAATTCTTAGACTTACTCCTGATTTCGATATCCTAGCATCTCTTTTTCCAAGTTTCTTCCCAGACGGTTTATGTACCTCTTTGCTAATTTATTGCCACTCTTAACAAATTCTTTGAAAAGTAGTGGTTAAACTGTACGATTAACGTTGCACTTCCTAAAAAGTCATTGTACGTATCTTAACCGCAATTACCGTTGGCCAGCACCAAACTCTTGCGCGCTCAATTGCCGTGCCGTCGGCGAGCGTTTTTACGCAACGCTTGAACCGGCAGTAATGGATGGCACACCCTGCGACGCGCCAAATCTTCGTGGGCATAATACAGGAATTTCTATGGAACGTACAGAACGTTGGCTCTGTGTCGCCGGACAATGCAAGGTACCATGAATAACTAAGTCGTTACAACGTACAACACAACGGAAATTAATTGCGATTCTCTCTCGATACGATCGATCACATCGATCACATCACGCAACACTTTTTCACGCTTTTCTTGCACGTTTTTAATTACACCTCGTTCCAACGTCAATGCGGCCAATTAACCGTGTCGATTTTATTGGTTTCGTTCGTTTTTTCATCATTGTTACGCTTTGTATTATAGTTTACACCGGTTCTCGATTCAGTATCAAGAGACGAACGCGATAAATTGTTGGTCGACGAGCGGATAAATCATTTTAAAATTGTTTTCCTTTTTTTTTTATTTTGTTCTTTCAGCCGGTAGGTTGCGACGGTGTGGTGGGTTCTGGCGTCACCATGGACGCTTGTGGTGTCTGCGGTGGCCAGGGTAAAGGTTGTAGACTGTACGAGGGTATTTTTATGGAACCAATCCTGCCTAGGGGTCATCAACCTGTGACCACCATTCCTAAAGGAGCCATGTCTCTCAACATCTCCGAACTACGTTTCAGTAGTAACTTCTTAGGTATTTAACATACAATACGAACAAAGAAATACCCTATGAAAATGATAAACTCTTCGTGGTAAATAAGTCGGAAATCTTTCATCGTTTAACGATGGCTATGTTTGCATTTATGTATTAACACACGTGTTTTTGCTCAACCCGAGTTCTTCGGACGTCGAAAGTTCGATCAGTCTTCTAAAGTTTAATCCTTTCGTTATGAAAGGCGACTATAGCGATCGTCCGCTAACAAGGAAAACTTTTCAAGTAGTCTTCTCAAATTCTAATGAGCACTCGCATAGAAACAGATCTTTCAGTTCGTACAAGCACGTTGCAAAATTTTCTCTTTTCAATACTTTCCAATCCCTGTTACACGCTTCGAAAGCAAGAACCCATCAAGTTGCGTAACTTAATTGAACAATTTGGTCTGTTAGCGTTGAGAGACAGCAACGGTAGCTACATCCTGAATGGGCCGTTGGCTTATAGTCCAAGCGGCACTTATAAAGCGGCTGGCACGACATTAACATACCAGAGGGGTGACAGAAACCGTATGGAGTGCATCTTGGCGACCGGACCACTGAACGATTCTTTGCATTTAGAGGTACGCGACATCCATAAAACACGACTCTGATAACCCGCTCGAATTTTATTCGAAACGATTCGTTTTTTACGCTCCTCGACATCGTCGTACATTGCGGAACGACTCATTGTATTTTAAAATTGCGCTTCTTTAGATTCTGGCTCAAGAAATGAATCCGGGAGTGCTTTACAAGTACATGATGCCATTAAAGGAAGGGTCAAATGGAAGAGCGATGATAGCACCTCCTCTTTTCGTGACAGGTAATAATTTTAAGATCGAGTATTTCTTTTTGCGTTTCGAGCACAATGCCAATAATAATTTTCGATGGAAATCACAATCGCCGCTTAATTATTTGTTAAACAACTTGTTCGTAGGATCCGTCGATCGTGGCAACGAAATTCCTGACTCGGATGCTAGAGTAGCTCTGACTATCCCAGTGACCAGAATGTAAATATTCTTTTATCAAGACCTTGGAAAACTACGCTTGAACCGATAGAACTCGCCAGAATTCGAAATTTGTTTGTACAGATTCAATCAGAAAATCGACGTGTCAGCGAGGAATCACGGTCAAACACGAGTCCACGAAGAAGGACGAAAGGAAGAGATGAAACATCCGCCGACCACGGTGATGGCCGGTGATCAGCCAAAGCTAAAACCCAAAAAGAAGAAACGATTGAAATTCGCGTGGAAAGTATTTGGATTGACTCCTTGTTCCAAGGAATGCGGAGGAGGTACCAAATTCGTAGCAAATTTCTTGGGGTCGTCTAGGAATTTTGATGGGTGGTAATGTAACGCGTGGCGATACACCGATACTTAAACGATTACATCATTTCGTTGAACCGTTCTACACAGTTGAACGGCGACCCCGATTTTTCGGACACGTCAATTAAAGCGAGCAATTAGGGAAAAAAGCGTGCAGACAATTAAAGCCGGTCCTAGGAGCCGACAACGGTAATCGAGGGACGCGTGGGAAGTCGCTGGAGAGCGGTTCGTTTCGGTATTATCGTCGTTTTGTATGTTCGTGAGATTACGACGCTGGGTTCGCTCGTCGTTGTCCCGGAAGTGTCGTCCAATTCACGAAATTGATTAACAGGAAACCCCACATCCGTGGCCGTGTCCGAGTTTATTATTTTCACCAACGGACGATCCTTGGTTCCTCTTTCACGTCGCGTCGCGTCGGCACGTTACACACGAGGACCGTGTCCGATGCCGCCTCGTCGAGAAGTCTGCTCTGACTTTTTTTTCATTTAGACTGACAGCTCATACGGGCGAGCAGAGATAACGTCGCACCGGTTGTCAGTGTTCCTTTCTTAATTTTCATTCTTGACAACGATGGTAATTGACCCGCGAATACCTGGCCATTGAGCCTCCTCGACGTGTTAATTGTTTTGTTACCGAAGGGTGAATATAACCATCGGTTATCCGGTGCACTATAATCACCAGTTATCGAGTCTATATTAACGGAAACGATAACCACCGGTTATCGAACGTTTAGTATATTCTAATGATTACCGTCGATCAGTCATCGATATCGTCGAATGCATGTTAAGGCTACAGAGCTTAATCTTCATTAAAACGTTCGTCCTGTTCAGGTATTCAAACAGCGATCTTCAAGTGCATTCGCGAGATCAACCAGATGATCGTGAACGACAAACGTTGTCGTAACGTGGGAAAGCCTCAACATCCCCCTCCGTTACGTTGCAACGAAAACCCTTGTCTACCTAGGTAACGCATCCACCCCTTCGTTTCTAGCAGACGATCGAACAAATTGATATTCACGTACTCGCAACTGGTGCGATGTCGTTTCAGATGGAGACCCGAACCGTGGGGCGAGTGTTCGGTCAGCTGCGGTACCGGTACGAGGACGCGAAAATTAGAATGCGTACAGGAACTGAACGCAAATTTAACGATGCGAGTCGCAGCGGGTGCGTGCGTTCAACCACCGGACCTGAAGACCGTGGAAACCTGCACGAAACCGGCTTGCACAAATAGCCCGGAATTGAGGCACATGCACATGCACTCGCAACACGACGCACCAAGATGGGACGTTGGCACCTGGAGTTCGGTAGAGCCCTTTATTTCATAATTCTTCATATCTCGCTTTAGCAAATATGGAATCGAAACATACAGAGATCTAGATATCTAGGAATCTGAAAACCTAATTGCTACTTAGTCTGCAGACCATAGAAAAATTAAATTCCCTCGATAATAAACGTTTAGACATTTATGAATATTCTACAGCTGGCATTCAAAGAGATAATTATTTTTCTTTTATGATTCCAGTGCTCGACAACGTGTGGTAAAGGATTTCGAAATCGGACGGTGACTTGTATCACATCTGGCAAGTCATGTCCAGCATTTAATAAACCTGAATCTCAAAAAGTTTGCGAGTCCGCACCTTGTACGCACGCAGGTGCGGAACAACGGGCTCCTTGGTTGTACTCAGAGTGGTCGTCCAAGGTAAAATCAATTATACGAACGGAAGAAAAGGAGACTGAATCGATCGAGTTAATCTTTTTTTTGTGGTTTCTTTAGTGCTCCGCGGAGTGCGGTAAAGGAGTGGAAACGAGACAAGTCGCTTGTGCCGATGGCAGCGAATTGTTCTGCAATCCCAAAGATAGACCGGAAACGGAGAGGCAGTGTTTCGGTAAAGGAACTAACTGCGATAGCGCCAAATGGTTCACCGGACCTTGGTCCCTGGTTAGTATCCCGATCCAAAATGACCGAACAAGCAACATCGTACGCTATGATTGGTAGCAAGCGAACAACCGTGTTCGATCGGGAATGACCGTGTCGGGCAAATATGGTTTCAGTGTTCCGTGTCTTGTGGAGTGGGTGTCCAGTATCGAGAAGTCCTTTGCTTGGCAAGGACGAACAACGAATTCGTTGTGTTGCCAGCGAACAACTGCAACGACTCGAGGCCAGCAAACGAGCAAGTATGCAGAACGACCGAGTGCGCACCAACATGGTTCACCTCGGACTGGTCGAAGGTAAATCGAGAACAAGGCGTGTAAATTTACGATCATCGTCGAGGTCTGGGATTTTTGTAGCTTCCTTGCATATGGAAGTTCGAGGTCTTCGAATTTAATCGGGATCCAGTTAGATACCAGCACTGTAGCTACCTTTATCAGAAGTTACGCTTTGACAATAATACATGTTGAACTGTTCTCTGAATCATCAAAAAGATAACTAAACATCTTACACATTGTTTCAGTGTTCGGTGACCTGTGGCACCGGAGTGCAAAGCAGAATGGTTCGCTGCATCCTCGAAGGCGTCACCACCACGAGTTGCGTTGAAGCTACGAAACCGAAGGAGCAACAACAATGCGACTTGGATCCGTGTAAAAAGGAGCCTGTACTTCCCAGCAAACCACCGAAAAGTACGTCGAAACTCGGCAACATTCGTGCACTTCGTGTGCCGATTTCGCGTCAATATATTAACCAATCGTCGAATGTTTGATTGTTTCAGAAGCCTTAGAGACGGCGGAATGCATCGACAAACATCCAAATTGTGCGTTGGTGATGAAGAACGGTTTGTGTCGGATAAAGTACTACAAGTATTCGTGTTGTCGTTGCCGCGAGTAGTAATGAATCGACTTCGCGCGTAGATTCATTCTCGACAGATATAATCGTATGTATTCGATCGAACTCGTAGTTCTCTGACCTTTAGTTCAATGTAACGCTTCCATTGAAACGGAAGAATCGTGGCAATTAATAAGACTGTTTACGAAGAGGCGACACGTATCACGTATTAATTTTATTTAACACGATAATCAACCAACCACGCGTAGCTCTATTCCCTCTGTCATCTTGCTCTCGCGTGGCAGACTGCGAAACAGCGATTATTTAATTCCCTTCGGACATTAACCCAGAAAGTGGAATCGTAGACGAAAATTCATGAATCTAGAGGAATCAACTAGTCGAAGTAGATGAAAATCGAGGATGTTAAAAAATAAAGTATTTTTTACGAGAGAGAACATGCACGATACTCGTATCGTACTATATACACGCATGTCAGGCGTGTGGACAGCTACAGGGGCGTAATTTTATAATTGCAGTGAACACTCGGTGGAATTTGCAGTTAACTTCTCTTATCGACCTTTCGACACGAAAGGGAACTAATTTGCAAAAATTCGTTAATTTTTCATCGCGTGATTGGAAAGTTAATTTAGATAATTCTAAATCACTGGAGTCTTGAATCTCTAAATCCCTGTATTCGAAAAATCCTATGTAATCCGAGTTTCCTATATCTAAACTCTGTAGGACCGAAGGTGATTGTTACGCTCCTGGATAAATTGCGATCCATTTGCATGCAGGCTCGTCTCGAAACCTGTACGGCCGTGTATCCACTTAGGTAAAGTTGCGAGGTTGTTCACGTACGCGCGAAACGAAAACGGGTTCGAGCGGGCACGCAGTCTGGTGTCACCGCGAAAACAAGAAACGCAAGAAGAAAAAGGGAAACGTGTCGGTCGATACGATACGGCTACATGTGCTCTCTCGATATATACTTGGATAGGTAGGCTGTATTAGTCGCGAAACATTATTTATCCCGTCCGTGCGCCCGTATCGGTGAAGCCGGACGACGATGGCTGACTTGCCACGGGTAATTTCTGTTATCGAGCATTTAATTAACATATCGAGCCAAGCAGATCCGGCAATTTTGATTTACGAGCCCGGACTCGTTAACGAATTCATCCGTGACACGAGCAACAGGACAATCCTGAAATGGACATAGTCTTTTGTTTCCTCTTGGTCCGATGGACAGACACGAGAAACCCGTTGCCGAAATTATTTCGTTCTGGATCGATTAACACCTTTCGTGCTGTAAAGTTTCCCTATATGGCTCTAAACGAGACTTTGATTGTCAAAGACCTATCGTCGGAATTTTGTAAATGTGAAAACCATGATGTACGAAATGTGTTAATTAACATTGTCGTATTAAAATATCATCGTTCTGCGTAATCAACATTAACCGATCTATTCTCAATATAAGTTCTAGCGTTAAAGATAGCCATAATAAATATATGCTTGACCGTGTAGAAAAATTGATAAAACTGTAAACTGATCACTGTAGAAACTGTATTTAATTTTCGACAAGTTCACTCGCGATAGTTTCTCGATGTTTTATTAATCATTTACGGGACAACTGTTCGTAAAAATGTTCGAAGACATGTTGCATTGAATATCGATGAAATTGAACTTAGGTAGCATTCTATAATGATCGATAGGAAACTGCGTGGGCAATCAATCCTTAGTGTCAATTAAATCGCAATTCCGGTTTGCCTTCTCGATGGCCAAGGAAGTCTGCGAAATACCATTGCCGTACACTTTGATCCGCTTTAATATCCCCTCGAGAAGCTGTTCTAATTTCTGTTGCAATTATAATTCGTTTTCAATAAACCTTACGTTCTCCTTGTACCGTTTCCTTTACTTTACAACCGACACGTTTTTCGCCAGGTAAGTGTCGATTTGAAAACTATTTCAAAATGCTACACACGAATTTTTATTTACGTTCGCTTCGTTCCCTTCGATTATTTTACTTTCCTCGATTTGTGCATCGCTGCAAAAACAGTTCCTCCAAATTCGGACGATCGGAAAAAGGCAAAACGTACGCTGCAAATGACTTTTGCCACAGGTTCGAGAAACAAGGTTGCTCAATCGAACGTTCACTTCTCAACGGTAGATGTACATACTTATAATTGTACCATGTTATCGGTTTACTATTCGAAGTATTTACGGCTGTGAATATGTGAAATGTATGTACATACATGTTCTCGACGGAAGAGCATCCTCCTTTTACGATGTACTATTTAAATGGTCAGTAAGCGGTGATTTGTGTTGCAAGGATAGGGAAAAGGAACAGTCGACCGACATTAAAACGAGCTTAAAGTGCTGTTTATATTCCTACGTTCCAGGACATGCGTTTCCAACAGATACAACTATCTGCATTCAACATTGTATGTACAACACTAACACCAGCACCTTGTTTAGTTCGCACCTCGATTTATTATTTCAGCACGAATTCACTTCCATTTGCATCGATTAGATAACTTTTTAAACATGTTAATTCAAGTTTGAAACGTCCGTGTTAAATGTAATAAAAGACAAAAATGATAGAGGATACAGGATCTTTATGATTCGATCCATTTTGCTAAATTAATTCCGGTAGCATGAGATGTTCCTGGGACTCGTCAAAAAAGAAACTATTCTGATGCGAATGGATTAACACGTTGACTGGCACAGTAGAAATAGCAATATCTAGTGTGGCACATAATAGTATGAATTGTTATGCTAACTATACTATTACTTGGGATATTTATATTTCAGCTACCTGAATAATCTTAATTTCCGAATCCTTCATTTTTCCAACTATCAAGCATTTATTACCAAATACAGCTGATGCAGTCAACGTGTTAAAATTAAATCTATCGACAGAATGGATAGTTAAGGTAGGACATCTTCAATATGTACAAAAGAATCATTCGTCAAAAAGGAATTTCTTATATTTCCACATGATCCATTTTCGAATCTGTATATATACATATATTTTTATTATACAATTTCTTCGACAAGTACACTTCGATGAAAGTAAAATGTATAGATTCTTTTACAATAACAGAACCGAGCGTCTATTTTTCCTCGCTGTTTGTGTGAAACAACATGTTTCTCTATTGTATTATCACATTCGCTAGGGACACGTTATCGTGCTCGTATGCAAATGTGATCTCGTCAAAGACTGTGATACAATCGTAGTCTCTTGCAGGAGTGAAGTACAACGAACCAACAATGAACTTATCGACGTAAAAACTGTTGCTGATCGAAGCGCGGTTTTTTAATATCGTAATTTGTGTATTCTATGATATCGAAAGAAATATTGTCGTCTATCGTACAAGGTTTTTCATAAAATCATCTTCTCTGAATGTTTCACATTTGAACCAAGAATAAAGTGCATACGTTTCAACTCGTTTCTCCGTGCGTTTCAACTCTGTTATCGCATACCATTGGAAGTTTCGTGAATGTGCCCATTTAATTTTTTTATTGTAAAAAATCTGTCAATGAACACGGAGAGAGTGTAGACTGATCCAATAAAAGATTCGACGTTGTACGATATGGATGTTTGGTGTTTAACATGAATGTAACTTTTCGATGTTATCTTCGACATAATAGAACACCTGTCTTTGCTCAAAAACAAGTTCAGAAATCTAAATTAAATGAACACTAAAATCGAGCTTATACTTCACTGAGAAATTCAATTAAAAAAGTCTAAACTGTCTATAATTTTTTTAGCGAATAAGTTTTTTGAATAATTGTCACTAGCAAACGGAGAACTTCATGTACCAAATCAATAAAAACATATATGTAATAAAAACCTAACTCTTTGGAGCGATTTAAATACGAGATATCAAGATATAAATAGCGATTGTAGGTCATTAAGCTCATTCCTTATCGTATAAAAGATAAAAGTTTATTATAAACCTATGCTGATACACAACATATAAATGTACATATATGATGGTGTATAAAAAAGAAAGTTACAAAAACAATATATGTATATATTCATATAAATATTACAATGTACTACAAAAAGGAAAAAATACTATATAAGTTATTATTTTTCGACAATTTATTCGTCGTAAACGAAACATATAAAAGTGTCTGGAACATTTTCAAATGAGCGTCATGGCAATTAATCGACCGGGTTGTTCAAAGATCCACCTTTTCCGGTCCATCTCTCTTTCAATTCTACCTTTAATCCAAGATCCCTTAACGCTGCCTTCACGTCGCTCTCAATTTTCGAGCCATGTTGTTGTAGGGCATTTCCCAAGACATCTTCTACGCCATGAGCAATAAATTCATTACACTCAGCCTTGTTTCTTACCGACATATTTCTGATGGCCCAAGCAGCTTGTTTCAAAACATTCACGCTTTTAGGGTAAAATTTCATTGCATCTATTATTACAAGCGCTGCTCCACAATCATAAAACACACCAGCATTTGAGGGACACCTTAGTGTTAATGCGGAAATACATGCAAGTCCAGCTGTCACTACACACTCAGAGCCCTATGGTGTAATAAAAATTTGTACACAAAAAACTTTCTCTATGATACTAAGTCAGCATGTTTCACAAAAGCAATTTCGCAATAGAGTAAACTTACTTTGAGTCTACTAATGGCAGAAACAATTAAAGGACCACAGCCTGATGTTACAATCTGAGACTTCACATCGTCGTTTCCTGCTAGAGCTTTCAGAAACTTTAAAGCTTGCCAATTTAATTTCTCAGAGTCTGGGTAATCGATCATAACATCTACTACAAATTTCAATCCTCCTGCATTCTCTACCTCTTGACAAAACTCATTTCTTACAATAAGAGCAGCCAAAGTTATCATTAAATCTCCTACAATTGCTTTATCCTTCTTAAATTCTATGTTCAACAAATTTTACTTATTAGAATATTATATATGTGATTCATTTTAAATCCTAAGACAACTAAATGATATTTACTTGGCATTAAACTAGTAAGTACACTGAGAGCTCCTTTCGCTATAACATTTGCATGCTCATGAGCTTTTCCATATTCGTGTCTAATATCATCATCTAATACCAGAGCTCTAATCACGGCACAAGCATCACGTATTTCTGATGCACTTGCATTATCTTGAACTAATATTTTCTTGAGCTTGTTAAAAATGTCGGCATTAAAAATACCTTGCCTGTTTAGCTCATGTTTGATACAACATTCTCTTATCCAACGTAAAAGGCATTGCAATGTTGGAATGTCTGTATACTTGTCTAAAATGCTAATGAGCAAATTAATGTACAAACACAGAATGACTATTCCTAACAGTTGATCATATTTATTAATATCTTACAGCATTTGTAAAGCTATTCCTTCGTCATTTAGTAAGTCTGGATTACCAGTCATCAATGAAGTAATAGTTTTCAATGCTGACCTTGTTACAGTGCTATTATTAGAACAAGTTTTCATTAATTTTATTAAAGTATCATATGCTCCATTTTTTCCTGCATATACTCTACGTGAAATATCTTTGTCTAATTCATTTCTCAATTTGTCTAACACATGAGAAACATTATCAAAATTCCGATCCTCGATTGCCATATTAATTTCATTCAGATAAGATAATATTAAACCACTATCATCGCTAATGATTAAATCTTTAATGATGTTGCTCAAGTCTATGCCCTATAAAAATAGAGACGATAAAAACAACCATGGCACAATGAGTACTTATGTAATATGCTCTAGATTATTTGAATTCTAGTATTCTGTTACCTTCGGTTACAGTCTCAAGTATATAACTAGTTCAAATATTACTTGATACTTACAATAAATTATTTTAATAAAAATTATTAATCACCTTATAATATAAAAATAAATAAAATAAAATGTTAACACCAGAATTATACCACTACCTGTTAAAGTATACCTAATTCTTTTTATTTCTTTGAATAACCAACATTTAAAATCAACACATTTCTCAGCTGTCAAAACTGGAATTATGAAACTGGAATTTCGATATATTGATTAGCACCTAATTATTTCAAACACAATGGATTAATAAACTATGCAATTCAAACAGGCATTCGCAATGAATCGAATGACATTTTTAACCAACGTTTAAGTCAGAAAAATTAAAAGTAAATAAATCAGAATACCTGAGCTTCGAATTGTTTTACGGCATCTTCGATAGCTTCCTCGGGAGACATCGAAAATTGTTCGATATTTTCGTTAACAACCTCATCGTAGGTTTGCTGACTAATTACCCGAACCATGATAACGTTATTTCTTTGTTCACCGTGTCCTAGATTTCTATATTAGGAAATGAATGTTGTCTCAGGAGAGAACTGCCTCATCCACGTGAGAACAAAAAGACAAATGTCAATTTTATTGCGTTCTGCAATACACCTATCGAATACTATATACAGCAGAGTGGGGATAAATCTAGGGACTTCTATATGTTACCCCCCATTTTCCTTTTCGTTACTAGATTATCACTTTCGTTGTAACATTATTCAATTTTATTTCTACACTCTAACATAAGAGTGATTATTTATTTTATTTAATAATTTTTACGAGGTTAAAATTACAACATTGTTCGAAGAGTTATTTATAAAACTGTTTAGTCAGAATTGCTACCTTTATTTAGTTTTTTGATTCTTAATTTCTTAAATTTAGAACTTTAGCAAATTAGGAACTTGAAAATTTAAAAATTTTTATGGAAAACATATAGTGGGAGGTGCCTCCCCCTATAATTATGCTTTCCCAAAAGAAGTATACGTAATACGAGAGCGTTAAATAATAATAAAAATGCATACACAAATTCGGTAAATCTTAAAAATTAAATAAAATTTGAAATAAAATAAAAATAAATAAAAACTAAAAGATAAGTTTTGAGAGATAGGTTTCTCATCCTGATAAAATGTAAGCGATGATCAATCACAGCGCCCTCAGCTGCTAAAGCTGGCCTAACCGTGTTCGTACGTGTTGCGACCAAAGGAAACAATTCTTTGTCACTTACCTTTTGGTCTTTCCAAGTTTTCCTGTCGTTTCATCGACGCCTGAAGCTCAAAATCTCGAGAATCAGACGTGCCGAAGTGCAAAGGTATTCTTTTCGACGTTTAATTGGTTTCAAGAAGAGTATATTGTCAACTCCTGTTCTCGCATCCCCACCGATTATCATCCGTCGAGTTTCTTGCTCGTAAGAAGCCTAATCTTGGCCGGATCGCTTTGGGCGTTATGTTTTCCGATATGAAAAACTCGTAGCTGCACACAATTGGAAAATAAATGCTTCATGAGAGTTTAATCACCATGGCTTTTTCGATTATTTACTTATCAAGCGCGTAAACTTTACTATGCTATTCGTTATCAAAGGCGTGCACGGTGTATCATTTTTTCCGCACAAGTGTCGTTTTGCAATGACAATGAGTTTTTATGTTATCCGTAAGTTTGTTACGCGATGGAAGAGAATGAAAGAAAAATGCACACGAAATTAACTTATATCGAGACTGACAGTAGCACCTGACACTGAAACGTTCGTAAACGATTCGCGTCCCTATAATTGCATTACATTCATGATATTTTATTCACAATTACTTTTTCTTAAAAGTAACACGAGATATTATGAAGATATGATACCTACTATTTATACCTTTAAAAGTTCACGTTTAATGTTTTACACCTAATACTGTACAACTCTTACATTTAACCTAATCTTTTACTATGATTACCTGCTTTTCACTAAGCAGTTTTATAATTTGTACATTATGATAATCTTATCTAAGTAATCACTGTTATTTGTATTGTATGTTGCAGAAATTGCAATAGGCTCAAGAAGGTGACCGTGGATATGAAACGACATGAAATAAATATCCAAATAAAAGGAGAGGTACATTTGTGCAGTGGTTCTCCACGAAAGAAATCCAAGAAAGAATGATAAAATCATGATACATCATCTTGTCATGCATCACTAGTTATCATTGTGTTCATATCAAGTTACTTTGACGGATTTTGTGTGTTCAAACAAGCTAACACTCAAAACATCATCATAGTTAATCATTACATACATTGCTCTTCATATATATATAAACATATATGTATATATATATGTATACATATATTTACCAAACAAGATTTTTAAATATAATTCTATGTATACACGCGAGTAGCCTTAAACAAGAGTTACTGTAAGTTTTTATAATTGTGGTGCCATTTGATATAATCAGCAGGAAAATCAAATTAGTTCCAAGAAGAGATACAATAAGTACACAGTGTTTCTCTGTCTCAGACAAGAATCAGTTTTTTAAACAATGCTCAAACGGCTACAAGTACTCTTAAATAGCATATATCAGATACCGAGTAAAAATCTGTTCTGACATAATCAGTGTTTACAACAAAAAAATATTGTAAGTCTAAGAAGAGGATGCACAACTGTCAGAGGAGATTATGTTCTGTGATTATAGTGTTGTGCAAAATTATTCATCTTTACATACTATGTATGACAGACAAATGAGTTAATTGTAATATATTTTTCCATGGATAAAATATGTTAACATAATTGTTTTTTAATGAACATTGGATAAGTCTATTTTGGAAGAAAGAGATAAACAGTGCTCGTATTTGCGCAAGCAACAGGAGACCTAGGAAGAAGACATTGTACCGGTACAAAATATTTTGTCAATTAAAATGTTTTTGCAATTGAATTTTACAGAATAAAATATATAAAGTAACTAACTTATTTTCAGACGCTAAAGGTACACGTGAGAAAGTCCTAATGCTGAAAGGAAACTTATCACCGTACTTAGACACTCATAATGACGAAGAGTCGTCTTATGTAACCCTCAGCAATGGACCGTACGGTAATTGACACTTCATAAGTATAATTAGACTGTTGATATTTATGCAAATATATGAATGCAAGAATCTGAGAATAGGATTGATAGTAAGAGCTACAGGGATTAAGAACATGCTTTTGCAACAGTGTTCAATACATATTTTAAACATTTTCATATGCTATAAATATCCACAGTCTAGTTATAATGAATACACAGCATGAAGTGAATCCATTAAATTTCTTTTTTATGTTACAGTGTATGTAACCGACTCTACTGACACAGAACCCAATAATAATCACGTCCTTGTAGATGTATATTTTTTAACCCCTATTCTTTGTAAACATTGTAAGTATCTTATCAAAGCGAATTTTATATTAATTTCATTACTTTGATATGTATATATTCTTTCTGTTTCTGATTACAGGCGAAGATTATGTTTGGGGTACTGGAAAGGTGGGAGTTCATTGTAAAGGTGAGTTTGTTTAACACATTCAACTAAATTTTTCCCAACGAATTAGTTATTTTAAGGAACTTTACCTTATAATTATTCGCGTTGAACGTAGATCCATAATATTTTTTATCTTGAGCACTTGAATTCCAACTAAAAACACAGAAATGACACAAAACAACTGCAAACTATTTGCGCGCGTAAATGCGCATATCGAAATAATCGATCTATCGAACGATACTGAAAAATCTCGCAAGTTGGAAACTTGACCCAATGCAAAAACATTTTCATATTATTCATACGAATAAATTTAGTTGACGGGAAAAAATAATGACATTACCCGTGGAAGGATTAACAGCAGGTGTATCGAAATTTGGACATTTTTGGAATTTTTAGAATATCGATAATGTATTGCTCTAACTATCGTACCGACAGCGGGGAAAAAAACGAATATACGATGGGATCGCCCTCTTTGTGAGCATACTGGGAACTTCGATAACACGGTGCATTATTATTTTCTCGATCACCATCGAGGGCGGCACCGTAGCATAGTAACACATGCAGTCGCGGTGATTTCGAGTAGCGTGCTATCGTGTCCCCCTTCACCTTACCTCGCGTTTGTTTCCAGCTCGGCCGGCAGTTTCTTTTCTAAAACTCCACAACCCTCTCCTGTTCCCTCTTGTGCCCCACCACCGGCTCTTTACCATCGTACGACCCAGGAACGTATCTACACTCCCGACGAACTTTGTTCCTATTCCATTTGAATTCATACATACATCTTAAATATTCATTCAGTCTCGATCATTATTTTCTTTTTGCCTACTTAATACAATGTTTATTTATCATTCGGTTTTTTATCGTTTAGTTCGTCTGATGATAAAATCGTGAAATAGATCATACGCTTCGCCTCTTCGATCATATAATTCGATATGACATTAAAAAAAGAAAACATTTCTTTATCTTATTAATCTTCGAGGTCTTTGACATCGTACAAGTATCTTTTCCTTCGTTTAGTCAATGTCTTTTTTGACAAATGTTCGCAACGAACGTCAGAGAACGATTCGATGTATCGCTTCGCGATAAATCCAGCGGTTCCATGATAATTCGCGCATCTTCGACGAACGTATGCCGAATATAAACGGGCACGTATAAATACGCGGTGGAAGATACAGAATTAGCGGAGCACAGAGAGGTAGGAACCATTTCTACGGATCGTTCGTTGGGTATATCGGCTTGCTGGCCAGATATCATAGCCTGGCAACTGTGCAAACGAAATTACTTACATTTCATTGGATTTCACGCTCGGAAAAGGAAACTACCGTGTGCGCAACGATCACGTAGCGGATGGACGACTCATGAGTACTTTTTTTCCCGATCGCTCGATCGTTAGCTCGAAATAGTTGGGAAGAAAACAGAAATTCGAATACCGTCGATGTAATCATTGAACTCTTGATATCCTGTTTTGTAAATTTTTTTGCAATTCAATCACTGTAGAATTTCGAGTCACTTCGATACTCCGAGTTAAAAGTTCGCGTGTTCAGCGAATATTCAACGTTGATTTCCTCCGAAATAACACGTGTTTACGAAACAAATTTTATTCTGCACATCTTGTTTCGTTTTTCTACGAAAATTTCATCATTTTTACGATCATAGTCGGATTTCTATATTCACGCGTTGAGACACAGTAGAAACGGATATCAGAAATCAGACGCGTTAAGTCATCGTCATTCACGGTACAGGTAGTCGATTACAAAACTTAACCCTGCGTTGCGTGATTCTTTCAATTTTGGAAAACAAGTTTACGACGTGTTGAGTAGACGTAAGAAAAAATTGCAATTATGAAAGATAAGAAATGTTTCCGATAATTTTACTGATTATGAAATCTGCAATTCACTTAATTTTCGATAAAGTATAAGAATTGAACGTAGCTTATTCGTGACACGATGCAACGAAGAGTTAAGCTCTCGGTTCGATATCGTAGAAGAAGAAACAAGTTCTGTACCATTGTTTGGAAAAATCATTAGCTTTGCAACTCCATATCTTAAACAACACATTCACTCGAAGTCACTCCGTTATATACAACGAAACGATTACCAACTCATTGCTATTTCACACGTACCAAATGACCGTTTTACACGCTCTTAGCTGGTTGTTTTACTCTCTGTCCAAGCAGCGAGGCTTCCCGCTGGTAATCCTTGAAAATCGGTGCATTCGATTACTCGAAACACCTAATCACGTCGTCGAAGCACGCCTAACACGCGGTCGTGTTAGCATCGCGTCCGGAATCGATGATTCTGTCCTCTTGTCGAATGACAAAAAAGAAGAAAACGATCAAACCACTTGTTCTTTTTGTCCTTAAGACACGCGTTCGAATGAGTTCACCCTTCCATGATCTACGTTCGACCTGTTACGTCCTTGTGCCTTTGATTCGGAGCATTCGACCACGGTTTCGCGGTCGCTTGATGACTCTTCGTTTTTAGACCACCTTCGGGATATCCTTTTTCCTTTTTTGACACGTTGACTGGTGCAGTGAAGAGGGTCTGTAGGCACGCAGAATTAGGGTGTCACCGTCTAACATTTCTATTCGAGATTTCTACCGATTTGTATCGCTATAATGCTACTCGTTGTAACGTGACCAACGATTGTCTAATTCGATACGAGATAGAAGAAACAAGAGTGAAAGTCGATAGAATCGCATGTATTTGCCGTAGAAACTAAATGCACATGAAAGAAAAAAAAGAAACTGTAGACACGAAAGAAGTTGGATGAAAGAGTCGCATCAAAGTACACTCTCGTATAGTGAGTAAAAGAGGACTGTAGGCGGTACTATTCAGTTCGCAAAGATATTCCTTTTCTTCTCCAAATGAATCGGCGACTTTTTCGTTGGTCGTTGAAAAGGAGCGTGTTCGCTTCAGAGTCACGGAACAAAAAATTCAAAGAACCCCGCTATGAACAAAAAAAAGAATTCTCCAATTCCTTTCTTCTTCTGCACGAAAAGGAATTTCGCGTGCAATTTATGCACGAACAGCTGATCGTGATTTGTAACGGCGTGTCCTCCAAGTGTTTTTCGATTTTCTTCCAGTCGGAACGATGTTCGTCGCTAAATTGTCGGGCAAACGGATAGAGACTTATGAAATAATTCGAGCGACATGTAATTGGATGATACCGCAAGTATTTCCTCGGAGATCGACTGCTTTTCGTGTAGGTATCACTTAGCGACCGTATCGTGGCTTTCTTCGCGCATCGATCCGCTCGTAAAATTAAACTCGTGCGTCATCCGCGATCGTAGCTTTCGAAATTCATCGACGTTAGGACCCGCCTCCGTTTAAGAGTCGATAAGAATCTCGCGAATGAGCAAAATTTCTGGCTGCGTGAGAGTTTTCAAGCTTTCACGGCTCCGTCTGTTACGGTTAACGCGTTAATTGCCGCGGGGGTCATCGATGACCGACAAACTACGCGCACTCGAGTGATTAAATGCCCTCCCTGGTCACGGGAAAAGTTCGTCGTTGGTTCCTGGCTGTAGATATGTAAATTTTGCAATTGGACCTAAGCAGTAATATTACGTATATGGATGATGAAATTAACGGGCGTTTCTCGATCAGGTACATATGTACAGGTTGTACGCAGCGAAAGCATTAAAGAAGAGTAACGCGTAAGTGCGGTTCAACGATGCGTTTCACCTTTCCCGACCGACAAAGCGGGAGAAAATGACGAGGCACCGAGTTGTTTCGAAGGACAATCGAACGGGGTCAAAAGTCCTCCTGTTGCTACGTGGAACGAACGAAGCCATGGAAACGAGCTCGTCGCGCAAGCGCTTCACCCTTTCCTCGTTTTACCCCATTTTCTTCTCTTGATTTCCCACTACCCATTTCCGGTTCCTCCTTCTTTCTCTTTCGCATCGCAACAGATTTTTCACTTTCATTCTTTCTTCCTACCAAGAACCAATTTCTGTTACCCTCTTCAAGAACAAATGTAACCCTCATAAGACTGTGTCGAGTGGTAGACATATGCAACTTTTCTTCTGTATATAATTTTTTAAGCGAACTTTGTTGCTATGTGCTGTAATTTGGAAATTTTTTAATGGAGAAGTTTCAGGAGAAATGTTTATCATCGGCACTGTATTGACAGCATACATATATTGATCGCGAGGACCTTGAAATGTTGACAGTACACCGATCCAAGGCCTTCATTAGAGTAGTATCGCATTGTACTACCACGTTAGTTCTTTCGATGTTATAAGCCCGAGCGTTATATCGTCGTTTGCCAGCGTAACTGGTAATTGTTAAATATGAAAAAAGAGAAGAGAAAAAATGTTGAAGGAGGTTGAAAATCCAAGGTGGAAAAACGTGTAAAGAGACGTAAGGATTCGAAGGTAAACGCCAACGCGGCTGGAAGGTATACCGAAAGAGGGAACTCGCTTGCTCGAGGTGGACGAGTTAATTTTAGTTTAATCGACCGACCCGATACGAAGAGTTAACTCACGCGCGTACAAACGCCAATGCACGTAAAGTACGTAAAGTAGACACACTACGAGCCAAAGCAGAACGTACGGAAAGGACTCGTTACGCGTCGTTGCTTTCGCGCGTAACTTCGACAACGATCGCTTTTTCCCCACCACGGAATTCGTTTCCGAGTTTCCCGACCCTTGGACAACGAGTCGACTCGTCCAGGATTATCGGCAGAATTTCCTGGAATCTACCGAGAATCCGAACACTCTGCGTCTCTACGTGACTTGCCACGTAAGAGCGGAGTATCGCCTTTCGTTATGTCGCGATTTTTCATTCTCGTTACTTAACGTCATCGTCTGGGAAGTTTCCTAGACTGTCTGACACGCGGGTCACCGTCGAGCGACACCACGAATTTAATGTTATCGAATGAAAGTCGATATTGCATTAGATTATCCAATAAATTCATTTGGATGCTGACGGCGAATAATTCTCAGAAATGTTCCCTTATAATCTTTATCTTACGAGATAACGCGGATTTTTATTCAGCTTTTTGTTGCACTCGACGACAAATAAAAGAAAAAGTTCATTGATAAGGATATCTGCTTATCGAATCTGCTAATGATTCAAATAAGTTAAGTGCATTTCGATCAGTGTAAATGGGACGGGCAAGGGGTGTTCGAGGTCATTCCTATCGAAATCATTCAATTAAGGTCGATAACGGTTTTATCGGGCCAGTCATCGAGCAACGAACCATGAACAAGATACAATACATACTTTTCCCCTTTCGATATCGTTTTTTATCGACGATTTTCGTTTCGCGATCGTCGATCGAAGTCGCTATCGAAAGAGCCATCGGATCGTACGATGGTCGTGCAACGAAACGATGCACCGAGGTTACCGACGAGACACACACGGAAGTCAAACGTTCCCTCGGCGATAAGAATGTGCAGGGCGTTCTCTAGAGACGAAT